CTTGAGGCTCCATCTCAAAAAAAAAAAAAAATTAAGAAAAAAGAAACAATTTGGCTTGGCACCTGTGGCTCAACTGGCTAAGGCGCCAGCCACATACACCTAAGGTGGCGGGTTTGAATCTAGTCCAGGCCTGCCAAAAAACGATGACAGCTGCAACCAAATAATAGCTGGGTGTTGTGGCAGGTGCCTGTGGTCCCAGCTACTTGGGAGGCAGAGGTAGGAGACTCGCCTGAGCTCAGGAGTTGGAGGTTGCTGTGAGCTGTGATGCTGTGACAGCTTGAGGCTCTGTCTCAAAAAAAAAAAAAAGAAACAATTTCAGGGTGTCACCTGTGGCTCAGTGGGCAGGGTGCCTGCCCCATATACCAAGGGTGGCTGGTTCAAACACAGTCCTGGCTAAACTCCAACAAAAAAATAGCCAGGCATTATGGCAGGCGCCTGTAGTCCCAGCTACTCAGGAGGCTGAGGCAAGAGAATCACCTAAGCCCAGGAGTTGGAGGTTGCTGTGTGCCGTGACGCCACAGCACTCTACAGAGGGTGATAAAGTGAAATTGTCTCTACATAGAAACAAAAAAGAAAGAAACAATTCCAGATATCGAAGTATGAGAGAAGCTATAACTCTGCGTAAAAGTGACTATAAGCAGAATAATTTACATTGAAAAAAAACAAACAAACAAAATAGGCACTAGTGGAATTAAATCATGGCCAACAACTTCAAGGAATTTTTTTTTTGATACAAAGTCTCACTCTGTTGCCCCAAGCTAGAGTGCAGTGGCCTCCACCTAGCTCATACCAACCTCAAACCACTGGGTTGAAGTGATCCTCCTGCTTCAGCCTCCCAAGTAGCTAGGATTACAAGTGCCTGCCATAATACCCATCTAATTTTTCTATTTTTACTAGAGACGGGTCTCACTCTTGTTCAGGCTGGTCTCAAACTTCTGAGTTCAAGTGATCCTCCCACCTTAGCCTCCTAAAGTGCTAAGATTACAGGCATTGGCCACCTCACTTGGCCATGACTATTTTTTTTTTAAATCCTAGTTTTCCTGAATAAATTAAATCCCGTCCAATTTCCCAAAGCCTCATTTTCTCTTAGAAGGCTTTGGGTCCCTTTTATCAGTTTCTTGAATTGGAGGCTTACCTTTCTTATATGCAACACTTAAAATGTCTTCCACTTGATCAGCAAAACCCATATCCAACATCTGATCAACTTCATCCAGGACAACATGCTTAAGTTTGGTGAGATCCAGTTTGCCATTCTGTAGGTGGTCTTTGATTCGACCTGGTGTTCCAACCAGGATATCAATCCCATTCCGCATGCGTTCAACTATAAAGGACATCAGGGACAAGATTTGCTGTTTTCTCAAAAAGTCCTTTTATCAATGTGAGGTATTAGATAAATGTATTATTGTTCTAAAACATTTATCAAACCACCAAGGACAAAGCCACATGTTAATGAAGATAAAGATACTTAAGGCACTCCTAATCCAGTGGGGAAAACGCATAAGAAGTGACAGTCCAGTTTATGAAGTTACATAAAAGAAAAATGCACTACTGGGGGATGGTAACACTGGGAAAGAAATGACTCCCTTGGGTGGTGGAAAGTATCAAGGTCTCACAAAGTGAGATGAGAATAAGAATCTTAAAGAAATAGGAACTTTCTATAAGGTAAACAAGTATGGGGAAGATAAAACAGGATAGCAGGGCAAATATTCCAAAAAGGTAGAAAGACACCAAAAAATGGAGTTCAATATAACTGGGATGAGATGGTGATAATGTAGCTTTTTACTGAGTTGGTTCTTAAGTCTAGAGATATCTCTAGGTATTTTATATACATTATCCAATCTAATCATCACAACACCCCTACATGGTGAACTTAACAACCCTATGAGGAAACTAAAGTGCAGAAAAATTAAGCAACCTGGACATTATAGCTACTTTAAGCAGGGTCTAGATTCAGGTCTGATTTCGTACCCTCTGTTTGTTTCACCAAAGCTAGAATAGCATAATCATAAGCCTTGTGTGCCAAAACTAAGATGTTATTTAATGCCTTAAATCCCTTCCCAATTTGTATATTTGCTCTACATAATTAAGCTTCAAGGTCTTGAGCTGGCCATTAATGAACTATTACAGTGGCAGCTGTAACACTTGGGCCTTGGACATCAAGAAAGCCTGCCTATGCAAGAAAAACGTAGGAATGCAAAAAGAAGCAGAGACACAAAGTCCTGACTGATTTAAAAAAAATGAGTAACCTTGAATCTGACTTTCTGGTTCCCAGGATCCAACTAGATTCTGTCTTCTGATTTCAGTAAATTTACCTTTGTAGCCTTTAGATAAATATAGGCAGACAATATAAAAGTTCCATAGTCTGGATGCAGTGGGCGTATCACCTGTGATCAGGAGTTCGAGACTAGCCTGAGCTACAGCGAGACCCCATCTCTAAAAATAGCCAGGCGTTGCAGGGGGGCTCCTGCAGTCCCAGCTTCTTGGGAGATTGAGATAAGAAAACTGCTGGAGCTCAGGAGTTGGAGGTTGCTGTGAGCTATTATGCCTACTGAGGGTGACAAAGTCAGAATCTGTCTCAAAAATAAATACATAAATAAATAAAAGTCCTGAGAACCCTGTACAGGATTTGCTCATCATTAGTCAGAACCACGTTCTTGACCATACTTAAATGACTAGAATGTAAAGATGTCCAGAGGTCAAAGCCAGAAGAAATCCAATCAGGGCATCCAACCACTTTACTTTAGAATGTTCACTTTAGAATATACTTACTTTGACCTCCATAGGGAGTTCCACCATAAAAACAAGCCACTGCCAGCTTTTTTGTGATGTCACTAAAGTCTTTGCTCACTTGATTTGCCAACTCTCTTGTAGGTGCAAGAACCAGTACCTGAAAAGGAAAAATAATTGAATTCAATTGTTTCTTAAACTGTTTGAAATTCACAAGAAAGATCAGCTCATCCTAACAAATATATTCAAAACATTTATTATGCGCTTTATAATGTGTGGAAAGAGCTCCTAAGAAAAGTTTATGACCAACCAGGGCTTACCTATCAGAAGAGAAGTAGACACTCCAATGTTGGCTTGAGAAACTGGGAAAAGTTTCATGAACTACTAGTCCTTAAAGAACATTCCAAGAAAAGAACAACCTGAGCAAGGAATAATACTGATGGTGATAACAATGGCTAATATTTGTGGTTTTACTATTTTCTTAGACTCTACAAAAAACATTTCATGTCTTCAGGCAACTGGACTCCAAAACCTGTAGTCTTTTCTTTTTTTTTGAGACAGAGCCTCAAACTGTTGCCCTGGGTAGAGTGCCGTGACATCATAGCTCATAGCAACCCCCAACGGCTGGGGCTCAAGAGATTCTCCTGCCTCTGCCTCCCAAGTGGCTGGGACTACAAGTGCCTGCCTCAACGCCTGGCTATTTTTTGGTTACAGTCGTCATTGTTGTTTTGGCGGGCTTGGGCTGGATTCAAACCCGCCACCTTAGGTGTATGTGGCTGGCGCCTTAGCCACTTTAGCCACAGGCGCAGAGCCACACCCAGCTATTTTTTTGGTTGCAGCCATCATTGTTTGGTGGGCCCAGGCTAGATTCAAACTCGCCAGCTCAAATGTATGTAGCTGGTGCCTTAGCCACTTGAGCAAAAAAAGCTGTAGTATTAACTTGCACATTATTGTGAATGTGAAGGAGAATAATGTTAGTTGGGTACTAAGATAGGGCCAAAACTGTTAAGAGGTTTTGAATACTGCAGCAGCTTGTGTTTGATCCAACAAGACAGAGAACACACTACCACAGATCATCAAGCAGGGTAATAGCATGAAATAAATATGACTTAAGGGCCAGCCCTGGTGGCTCACACCTGTAATCCTGGCACTCTGGCAAGCCCAGGCAGGAAGATCACTTGAGCTCAGGAATTTGAGACCAGGCTGGTGAAGAGTGAGATGCCGTCTTTACTAAAAATAGAAAAATTAGTCAGGTGCTGTGGTGGGCACCTGCAGTCCTAACTACCTAGGAGGCTGATGCCAAAGCACTCTAGCCTGGACATGGAGAGAGAGTCTGTTTTAAAAACCAAAACCGGGGTGGTGCCTGTGGCTCAAAAGGGTAGGGCATCAGTCCCATATGCCGGAGGTGGTGGGTTCAAATCCAGCCCCAGCCCAAAACGGCAAAAATAAAATAAATAGGCTCGGCGCCTATAGCTCAACCGGCTAAGGCGCCAGCCACGTACACCTAAGGTGG